TATCCTAAGAAAAATAGCTCCCTGATTCTGGATTTATTTAAGTGGTTTTCTGACTTGAAATTTGCCAAAGAAATTCTGGGTTATTGCTTATATAAATTGAACCATTGCTGCTGAATTTTGCACTTGTAATAGAATACTTGCCACTTGAATTGAGAAATTAACATTGACTTGGGAGGAAAATTCTTGTAATTTGCATGACAATCCATTAAATCTTGTTACTGATGAGCAATGTAATATACTTCGAATCTCGGGCCTGAAATTTGCTATTGAACTTCACTTTATCCAAATTTTGAGTCCCGTATAAATTGGACCTTTAATATGGAACGTAGTGATTTTGAGAAAATGACCCTCTTGAACTTCATCACAAAACGGCCTATGACATTGCACCTCTTATTGATGATAGAAACTTGAACTCTATATGTTGATGATACACCCATTGGTATTACAATTTGTTGAGCTTGAAAAATACTCGAGAAAATGAATTGTTGATGACTTTCGAGGTTGAATTTGTTGATAAACCCATCATGTAAATCTTATTATAAAAATGACTGATTGTTGCGACCCTTAGCATAGTAGACATCGTGCCTGAATTCTTGGTGTAAAAATTCCTCGTAGAATTTGTTGAATTCATGGATTCTCTGAGAAAGGAATAGTTGATGTCGAAATTTCATTCGAATGTGTTGCTTCAATTCCAATATTCTGAATTTTAATACAGTCAACTCCTTGCTATTTATACCTGTTGTTTCAGCCATATGTCTTCTCGAAAGAAACCCGTTGTCCCGGGGTCATCAGAACCGACTCTCATGAAAGAGAGGGATGTACCTCCGGTGTCTAAGTGGAAGAAATCTCCTTATTTTGGTCGGAAGGACCCCTTCTGGTTGGCGGCTACCTCCACCACTTCTCTTCTGACTCAGAAGGGAGCTCCATTATGTCTTACTGAGGACACTGACTCCGGACATGAGGCCCTTATTTCTCCTTCTTCGGTGCTACGATTTAGGATTGAGTGAGGGGACTTTCCATACTGCTATCCTCAGTTCAAGGCCTTCTCAAACCCTCTTTTTGGTTGGCAGGAGTGGGTCGATGATGTCCTCTCGGACAGGAGCCTCTGTCAGCGGCTTCAGGAGGCTCGGTTATTGATCCCGGTGAAAATATCTTGATCCCTATCCATCCGTCGCAATAATGCCTAGCCTTTAAGCCATGGCTCTTCGGTGGAGCACCGAGACACATACCTTTATACTTGGCCAGCACGAGATGGGGCCCACCCTTAAGGATGTGTTCATGTTGCTGCGTCTGGAAGTGACCGGCCCTGATGCCTTCTACCCTGAGCGGGCACCCCCTGAGGATGACTCTTTGATCCAATCTCTGAAGCTAAATCTTCAAGCTTGTGGCCGATGAAGTTCTGTATTTGATGGTTCAGCGAGGAGGACCAGTCGAGTAAGGACGGATCATGCCTCCTATACCGCATGGATCCGCTACTTCTTCAAGGATCTTCAGCCCTTGGCTAGAGATGCTAACCCCTATTCTCGGGAGTATGAGGCGGGCCCGATGTATGGTTCTAGGCTTTATTTCTTGGGATTTCTGGCTTGCTTCCTTTTATTCTTCATTCTTCCGAGCACACCTCCGGATTCTCTCAATCCCTTTGTCTTCCCCTTGGCAATTAGGCTCTTCAGAGGGAATCAGATTCCTTTGGCTCCGCTATTTCTTGGGAATCTTTATTACCGGCTGGATCTACTACATCGAGACATGGTTCGCTCCGTGGGTCGATATGAGCCTATCTCCTTCATTCACAGCTAGTTCCTGCTTTGTTTCTTCTTCGAGAGGTTCCCAAAGTTTGCCCCCACTCCTACTGTATTCGAGGCAGAGGTTCTTCGGGAGATAGTAGATAAAGATGGAATCCCCGTGCTTGGTACTAACGGGTCTCAGACCTTTGAGAAAGTGAAGTCTTGCCAGCCGTTGATTACACGTTGGTCACGTACCATTTCCACCTTATCCTTGAATACTCTAGTGGATGATCCCCGGCGCTTTATGGCACGACCATATGTATGCCCACCGATGGGTGTGGCAACACCACTTATTTATCATGGTTCCTCCCACTCGGTGTCATTTCTTTTGCCGAAAAACATCCTTGCACACTTTGTTGATATGCTGATAATGACCCATCCAAGTTCATTACCGGTATGGCATGAGGAAGGCGCTGATAGTGCCGTTTATAGACCTGATCATGTAGCATGTCAATTCGGGTTTGACCAATATGCCCCGGGGCCAGGACCTCCTTTGTTATCATTTTCAGAGAGCTACGGGCACTTCAGTCGCGGACTTGTACACACCATGCTTCCTATATCCGGCTCTTTGACAATGCCAGGCTTAAGCCGAGTAGGGGGTTTCACCCCCTCTTTCAGGCGATATTAGCGGAAGACTATCGATGCATTTATTGAATTTGTCTAGAGCAGACCGACCATATGTTTGCCTTCACCGATTTATAAGAACGACTCTTCTCTTCGACTGCCCGAGTGCCGGAAATCTGATCACATGTACGAGAGTTTCTTCACTTCATCTGCTCTAACTGACCCCTCAGCTCGGGCGTCTGCTTCTAGCTTGGCAATTACTTCTCCAGAGCTAGTCCCTTTGAATAAGGCCTCTGGTCCTCAGACGACCCGCCTTAAGAAGATGGCTCACAAGAGGGCTTTTGATGCCAGTCCTTCCTCTCCTCGCCTCTCCAAAAGGCTTCATGAGGTACCCAAATTTTTTTGATTTAAAGTTACTTTCCTTCTTGCGACTAGACCTTCTTAAATGAACACTTTTTATTTTCCCTTGTTGTGTAGGACCTTACGGCTACTGACGTTCTCAGTACCGTGGCTACTGGCCATGCTTCCTCCACCAGGCCGGATTCAGACTTGGACGACACCCTCCTTTTGTCTGCAAGACTTGTAAAGATGCGCACCCCTCGTATAGCAGTTATAGATGATGATGATGATGAGGATGATGATGATGATGAAGCTAAGTCCTCCAATCATTTTTGTGACCTTATCCCGCGCATGTGTCGTCGCCGTCCTATCGTAACTGAGGAGAAGCGCTATCTTGGTGACGAGGTTGTCGGGGCTCGCCATTCTAATGCTGAGATTGCTGAAGGGATTGATGCCACAGAAATTGATGCCGCAAGCTATGCTTTTAGAAGCAATATGGAGATGAGGTGCGCCTCTGGGAATGGTGTGGAGGTGGATGTGGTAGAAATTTCTGAGACTCGCTCTGGCACTTATGGTGATTCTCATCCTCCGGCCCTCCTTCATTCTTCAGGGATGACTGCTATTGTTTGGGCTTCATTAAACATTGAGATCGATCAGGTGCCCTCTGTGCGGTCAAGTGACTTTGTTGATGCTAGGAGTCCTTCAGTTGCTCCAGCTTTGCACTATGATTCTCCTTCTGGTAATATTTTTTTCTGAAGTTTGTCATGTACTTCCATCTTTGAGAAATCTTTACTCAAATGGCTTTACTGTTCCCCGCCTCTAATAAGACTTCCTTATTTTTTTTATTTTTTTTCAGTGTTAGCTACCACCGGGGTCCTGCCTTCACCTCCCTCGGACTCTGCATCGACTCTCTTTGTGACTCCTTGTGGTTCTCCTTCTCAAGGGAAGACACCTGCCTTTGAGACGACTGCTAAAGGTCCCTCTGGTAATCTTTCTTTCTGAAGTTTGTCATGTACTGCTATCTGTGAGAAATCTTTACTCAAATGGCTTTATTGTTCCTCACCCCTAATAAGACTTCCTTATCTTTTCTTCAGTGTCAGCTGCCACCGAGGTCCTGCCTTCACCTGCCTCGGACTCTGCTCCGACTCTCTTTGTGACTCCTCGTGGTTCTCCTTCTCAAGGGGAGACACCTGCCTTTGAGACGACTGCTAGAGGTTCTTCATCGCCAGTTCCTTCAAATGTTTTGGATCTGAATCTCGGCGATTTCCACTTTGCTAGTGATGCTTTTGGTCTTTCCCCTTATCGCTCTGCATTCTCAGGCTCGGGACCTCTACCGAAAGTTACCCCTTGGGGTGGTTCATCTAACCCGCTAGACATTCGGGAGATTCCTGAGACTAGTAGCTTTCCGGCCCCAATTCCTCCTTCGGCTTCTGGCAAAGTATCATTTCTCCATTATTGGGTAGCTCCTGAGTTTGCTTCAGTTCTACAGCTTGTGCATTCGAGTTACCCGGAGACCTTTGCTTCATTTGCTTGCCAATGTCCACTCATTCAGACTGCTCTTCTCGAGTCTTTTGCCACTATCTTATATAGCTTGGACAGACAATGGCTGTGTGACCTTAATGGGAAAGTAGTCGAGACAGCGTATCAGGGGATCTCTGACATGGAGCGTCACGAAGTGGATTTATCATGGCTTCGAAAGCACCTGGATGTAGCTTCGAACGCCAGTCATCGGGAGGAAATTTTGTCTGTGATTGCCTCTTATCGGACCTCTATAGATGAGACGAAGGCAACTCTTTGTGAACTTGAGTCAGGCTATGCTCGGGCCTTGGAGACTTTAGAGGCACACTCTACTGTTTGTCCTCCGGATGTAGATGTGACGGGTAGCTTCTTCGAGGGTATTTTTAGGAGAGATTGAGTTTTTTTTTTTATCATTACTTTCTTGCCCCTTTCAAAAGAAATGTTTTATCTAGGACAATGCAATGAAATGACAAAATCTTTGCTGTTTGGATATTTTCACATTGTTTTCTCATTCTACTTGATAAAATATTTATTTCGAATGATACAATGGAAAGAACAATCATATGCACATATAAAAGCTGAAATATTCTCATTAGTTCTTCAACTTTCTTGACAAAAGCATAATAGATTCACTGTAAGTGATGGGATAAAACATGCACCATAGAGAAAACCAGCTTCTTCATAACGTAAGGGAAATACAACTTTTAGACAAAGTAGGAAAATGAAAATGAATGTCAACATAGATGAGTCTAACTACGGGTAGTAATTCTTGATAAACTTTGCATTGAGCAGGCCAATTCAAAAGCCATCTTCAACCCTTACAAGCTTGTAGTACCCGCTTGAGCTTGCCTGAACCACCCTGTAGGGCCCTTTCCATTTTGGAGAAAACTTGGGCAAGGGTTGTCCTCGCATGATTGGGTCTACAATCTTCCGTACTAGATCACCTTCTTCGAACTTTCTTGGCACCACAGTCTGATTATAGGCTCGGGCGATGGACTCATGATACCTTTCCATGACTTTTGCAGCTCTGTCATGCTTTTCCTCTAATGCTTCCAATCTAATGGTTCGAGGCTCCAGTACCATCCCCGAGGCGAGAGCCATTCGAGCAGATGGTGTTTCTAACTCTATAGGTAACACAGCCTCGGACCCATATACAAGGGAGTAAGGAGTTGCTTGAGTTGGCTTTCTCTTTGAAGTGCGATACGCCCATAGGGCTACTATTAATTGTTCGGACCAAGTCCCCCCAAATTCATCAATCATCTTGCTCAGAATCCTTATCAGTGTCCTGTTTGTGGCCTCCGCTTGCCCGTTCCCTTTTGGATAGTAGGGTGTGGATTTATGATGCTTCACTTGGTAAGTCTCTAGGAGGCTCTTCACATATTTGTTTATGAAGGGAGTGCCATTGTCCGAGAGGATGGTGTTTGGTACTCCAAACCGGCAAATGATATTTTCCTTGATGAAGTTCGAGACTACGGGACCCGTAGCTTTCTTTAGAGGGATTGCTTCGACCCACTTTGTACTTAATTCTGTAGCTGTGAGAGTCCACTTGTACCCCTTAGAAGGTATGGAAATGGGCCCTATCAGATCAAAAGCCCAGGTATGGAATGGCCATGGCGTTCGGATGCTATGCAGGTCTACGGCTGGAGCATGGATCAAATTTCTGTGTTTCTGACAAGTCTAGCACCTCTTCACATGATGGGACGCATCTGACTCCATGGTCGGCCAGTAATACCCAAGGTGTATAAGTTGCTCGAACAGCCAAGTCCCTCCTTGATGTTCAATCTCGTGGGCTCTTCTAAGGACTAGATCTGACTCCTCCTTAGAGAGACACCTCAAGGGAGTGCCCTCAATACTTCTTCTGTAAAGCTTGTCCTGATCAAGAAAGTACCACCTTGCTCTCCTCTTGAGGTGTGGAATGTCCCTCGGGCTCTCAAGTAGTGTTCCCTTTTTGAGATAGTCAATGTAGACTTGTCTCCAGTCAGGGGTATCAATTTCAAAGCAACTCTCATCCTCCCGGATGTATGACTGACACTTGGGGCATTCTTTCTGTAGTTGATTCGAGGCCTTCTCCATCTCGGGCCAATAATAGCCTTGTCTTTGGACCCTTCTATACAGACTGATATCCCCATCCCTGCAAGACTTTTCATGGATCTGTTGTAGTTAGAAGCTTGCTTCTTGTTGGCCAACACACCGGGCTAGGAATCCGGTACCTCCTCGGAAGTAAAGTTCACCTTGAATAATTATGAATTGGGCAAGCTTGGCCATAGTCAATTTTCCAACTTTACTTCTACGTTGTTCAAGGACTTCTCCTCTCCAGTCCTCTGGAAGGCCTTTGTCTTCGGGTATTATTGAAGGTTCTGTTCTCTTCTTGATAACAATTGTTGCCTCTTCCTCTGGAATGTCAACTCTTGCCCCTAATGTTGCGAGGGCATCTGAAAACTTGTTGTCGGAGCGAGGCACATGCTCTATTTCGACCTTCTGAAATTTGTCAAGAAGCCTTTGGACTGCTGTTCGATATGTGGCCAAGACAGTTTCCTTTAAGACGAATTGTCCTGAAACTTGCTTCACTATCAGCTTTGAGTCCCCCCGGATCCGAATCTTCTTGATACTGTGCTTCTCAGCTGCTATCAAGCCTAAAATAAGAGCCTCATACTCGGCTTCGTTATTCGAACAATGGAAATCCAGTTTATAAGACAAATATAACTTTTCCCCACTTTTGCTTGTAAGGACTATCCCAGTTCCTCCTTTCCCTCCGGCTGCTGCTCCGTCAAAGCTCAATGTCCAGAAGCTTTCCTCGGAAGCCATAGTTGCGTGCACCTCTCCTCTTAATTCTTCATTCACTGGTTCATAGTCACCACTTGGAAATTGGGCAAGGAGATCAGCTAAGGCTTGGCTTTTGATCGCCTTGGGGGCTACACATGTGATCTCGAATTCACCCAGTGCTAATAACCATCTTGCCACCTTCCCGATTAGAGCAAGCTTGCTGAGGAGATATTGGATTGGATCACTTCTAGTAACAATCTAAATATGATGTGCTAAGAAGTAATGTCTGAGCTTTTGGGCAGTGAATACCAAAGCTAAACAATGTCTCTCTACTGGAGTATATCGGACTTCTGCTCCTCGAATCTTCCAGCTGATGTAATACACCGGGCATTCTGCTCCATCTACATCTTGGACCAATAATGCCCCTATGGACTTGGGGGTCGAAGTTAAGTACAACATTAGAGGTACCTCGGGCTGCAGGGCTATCATGTTCTGAGGCGAGGTCAAGGCCGCCTTGATTCTCTTGAAGGCCTTTTGGTGCTCTTGGTTCCACTCGAACTTGGCATCTCCTTTCAATAATGAACCGAAAGGGGCAAAGATCTCTGCTAGTGCTGGGATAAACTTCCGAATATAAGACACCTTTCGAGGAACTTATTTAACTCCTTCTGAGAATGTGGGGGAGGCATTGCTTTGATAGACTTGACCTTGTCTTTATCTGTCTCGATACCATGCCTATGTACAAGAAACCAGAGGAACTTCCCGGCCGTCACCCCGAAAGCACATTTGAGAGGATTCATCCTCATTTTGAATTTCTGGCACCTCTTGAATACTTTCTCAAGGTCTCGGAGATGGTCCTCTTCTTTCTTAGATTTCACCACTAGATCATCAACATAATCTTCCACCTCATGATGGATCATGTCATGAAAGATTGCAGTCATAGCCCTTTGGTAAGTTGCTCTGGTATTCTTGAGTCCGAAAGGCATGACTGTATAGAAGTAGTTTTTGAGAGGTGTTCTAAAAGCGGTCTTTTCTACGTCCTTTTCAGCCATCTTAATCTGATTGTATCCGCTGAATCCATCCATGAATGAGAACATCTGGTGTCCTGAGGTGGCATCTACGAGGGTGTTGATGTGTGGTAGAGGGAATTCATCCTTCAGGCAAGATTTGTTCAAATCTCGAAAGTCTACACATACTCTGATTTGACCATTCTTCTTCTTTACTGGCACTATGTTTGCCAACCAAGTGGGGTACTGTATTGGCCGGATGAAACCTGCTTGTTGAAGTTTTTCAATCTCCTCCTTAATCTTCTCTTCGAGATCCGGATGATATTTTCGAGCAGCTTGCTTAATTGGCTTGGAGTTTGGGAACACATCAAGATAATAGGAGACTAGGTCAGGATCTAGTCCAAGCATTTCCTTATATGACCAAGCAAACACATCTGAGTATCGGCCTATCAACTTTAACAACTGTTCCCGCTTCTCTGGGCTAAGGCTCGAACTTACGAATACCGGCCTCGGTGCATCTTGTCCATCACTCAGATCTATTTCAATAAGTTGTTCGGGCTGAGGCTTCGGCCCATCTTGCATGCATTCTGGAGCCACTTCAGGCTTTATTACTATATCATTGTCAGGAGGCTCTTCTTTTGACTCGGAGTCGGTGACTGAAGAAACCGACTCCCCGCACCTTCATAAATAATACACCATCTTGCCTCCTTCTCGAACTTTCATCACCTTCCGAGGAATAGGCGGACTTTCTGGTCTAGACATCGCCCGCTTACTTGATTCTGTCATCGGCTCCTTGTCATCTTTGATATCCTCCCAACGAGGAATTTTGACCCCTCGAGGCTTAGAGGTGGTGGAAACTTCTTCGACAGCCAGTTCGGTAAAGTAGATGGCATCAGAATAATGAGCTTCATGGATCTCAAAAGGCCTTTCTGTAGCCTGAATTGTCACCGTCTTCTTTACCCATTTAGCCTTAACACACTGATGATAACTCGATGGTACAGCCCCATATCTATGCATCCAGGTCCTCCCTAGAATGATGTGATAATTTGTCTCAGAATCGATAATATGGAACTTGGTGGCCGAGCGAATCTCTCAAACGGCTAAATCAACAGTTACGCATCCGATAGTAACTCTCATCCATCGCCATTGGTTCCGGCTATGATTAATCAACGCCAACCACACCGCCGACTCAGCGCGGTGTTGGTTTGCCTAGCTGCCCGCTGTTTCGTGCACCATTCTCAGCCTACACCGCCTTTGGTCTTCATCCTCTTCGTTACTTCTCTAAGTCTGTGGGTAAGTATTATTATTATTTTTTTTTTTAAAGAAAAATTGGTGGAAGCCTTCTTTGTGGTAAACCCAATTTCAGAATCTCTACATCTGATATATATATTTTGTGAATCTTGATGTGTCGATTGCTGCTCATTGCTAAAGAAAATAAAACTTGAATAGCCCTCCGTTGATTTTTTCCTTGAAATGGAGGCTGCCTCGGCTATATTAATGATGGACTTGGTGATTTCTGTTCTTGCCTCCCTGGAAAGTCCAAGCTGGTCGAAGAATTGCTTGAACTTTACACAGTCTTGCAAGGTTTTGGCATAGTGATCCGGATCTTTTTCCACTCTTGGAGGCTCGTAGTTAACCATTTCCTCGGTCTCCTCAAAATAAGATGCCACATAAACATGGTGTCCTCCTCTTCCGTAGTACCCTTCTCCTCCTTCTGGATCAAAGGGATCGTCGACATGAGTTATGAAGGTTCTACCCTTTGGATCAAGAGCACTTCCATAGTAAACTTGCTCACCCTTGGGCTCGAGGATGTCGTCCAGATAATAATCATCGTCATCGAGATTGGCGATAACCTCAATCATTGGGCCTTCATAAGCTATCATAGCGACATTCTTGCCTTTGTCTCGGTGCTGAGGATATGGTTGTTCTTGGATATCTTGAGTCCCTTGCTTTTTGAACCTCAATTCGTCTGCCTCGACTTTATCTCTGAAGATTTTCCTGAGAGTCCAACACTTCTCTGTCAGATGTTTCAATGTACGATGGTAGACACAAAATTCAGGGCTCTCACGGTCCTTTTTTTATGGCATTTCTTCGACATAAGGCAATTTTAGCTCTCCATCGACCACCCATTCCTTAACTAGAGCTTTTACTTCCTCGATTCCATATGGATAAGAAACATTCCCCTTTTCACCATCATATTGCTTTCTCTTCTGGCCTCTATGACCTCCTCCTTGTGACTTTCGGGTATCTGGGGCAGAGGCAGCAGCAACAATAGGTCCACAAGACGATTTGAAGCTAGTCTTGTAACTGGCCTTAAATCCGGACTCCTGAGCCTGAGGAATGCTAATGTTCCGAGCTGCTTCTATTAATGCCGAGAAGGTGGGTAGCTTGTGATTAACTAGAAACATTTTGTACCTACTCAATGCCCTTTCTAGACAGATTTGGACCAGATAACTCTCCTCCACTGCTTCATGGCAATCCACGGTCTTATCCTGAAACCTTTTGACATAGTCAAGGATGTCTTCACTTTCCTGCTGCTTTTCTTTACACAACGTAATTGTGGTCACCTTCTCCACCACTTGAAAGAACTTAGAATGGAATTTGTTAACCATTTCCTCCCAACTTCGGACAGAGTTTGGGGCCAAATTAACATACCAACTATATGCTCGGTCAGTGAGGGACTTAGAGAATTCTCTCAGCCGGAGGACGTGGTTTGAACCATGAATACCCAGAGTCTCGATGAATCGCACAACATGTTCTCGAGCGTTTCTTTGTTTGCCATCGAACTTGATGAACTTCGGCACTGTATACCCCTCAGGGTATGGATAGCTCAGCATCTCAGTGAGGTAAGGCGGCTTGACATTTGGATCAGGCAAAGAGGATAAGGTCCTCTTGCCCCGTTCAAGATCGAACATGGCCTGCACATCGGCGAGAGTGAGAAACTATTGAGGGAGAGAGTTTGATGGTGGTATTCCCGGGACTTGGCTTATGTACCCGAAGACTGAGCTAGGGGCGTCTTGGCCATTCTGGTGCTGCGAATTCATCATTGGTGAGGACATTTGACGATACTGGCCATCAGCGCCTATAGACAAGCCAGTTGGTGATGGGATATTGAATTGAGGCCCGTAAAGTCCACCGTACGGCACCGTTATACCGGGTTGTGCTTGCAAATTTGTTGTTGGCACCAAAGGAGGCCCGCTTGGTGCTTGGGTAACATTTACTGGTGGCGTAACAAGATTAGGTACGGGCAGAGCTCCCTTTTGCGCCATCATGCTCCTCATGTTTTCCTGGACACCAATAGTCACC